CTTCCTTCTTTTCTGTTGATCACCTCTTAAATAAGTTTATTTTGTAATATCCCTAATATCTAGACAAACTACAAAGATGATCCAGTCTTTGCTTTTGCATAGATTGTTTAGGATGGTTTGAGGAAAGAGGGAGCATAAAATTAGGAGAGAGAGAGGTTCTATTACAATACAGTGTCAGTACCACAAGTATGAGCATAGTATGAGCATGTTAATATTGAACATGTGCAGAAGTAACTGCATACCTTTCAGGATTAGCCCACTAAACTAAACTAAGTGTATACCCAACCCAGGTTCCCTTAGCAGGATTCCAAAATCCTTGTGGCAAATTTGCTAGAACAGATGACTGGGTGAACATGTTTCTAGGGTCTTTCTGGGTTCTTAATGGAACCTGTGCAAATGAGAGGCCTTGAAATACAAACTTCTGATACCTGGAAGGAAACAAAGAAAACCTTGAGACAGTCTAAACATCCTAAATATTCGGAATCAAGTTTAGATGTTTGAGAGTTTCCCACAGCAAGTGAGAGCATGATGTAATAAAAATACTCTACCTGATTTAATATAAAAATACAAATAATACGAAATAATATTGAATGTAAACTGTAACTAAAAAAACCCTTTTTTGTAGGGACTGAAAATAGGAAACTATTTAAAAGGCTATTGAAACAGTCCTATTAAGCTATAATAAGACCCTGAAATATATAGAGATTGTTTCAAAGGTGAAATGACTGACCAGGTGATTCATAGGGTCACGTACACATCTCAACCATAATTTAAAGAACAATGCCTCAGAAAGCAACATAATTCATTTCAGTCCTGTTTAGTAGCATGAGGAGGATTTAAGAATGATCTCTAACTGCTTCGAGTGTGGCAATGGGATGACAATTATTTTCTCCCTTAAACAAGGTTAGCATATCTTCTGAATTTTGTCTGCTTTTAGATTCAAGGTAAATATCAGGAGAGTCAAGTAGGATAGCGTTTTCTCATAGTGCACAGTGTTGAATCAGATAAACTGGATCAGCAGCAGAACTGATAATGTTCTTTAAAAATATAGCCTGTCTTATATTCATGACGCCACATCCCCACTGAGGGCTGTGCACCAGCGCCGCTTTGGAAGTAGGCCTCTGAATTTCAGCGCCACCGCACCTGGGCACAGCTGTCCAATTGCAGGGACAATGAAACACCGGAGACCAGAGCCTTGCAATTTACACAAACGTACATTGTAAGTTAATAGGTTAATAAAACTCTAAAACTGAAGTCAAGGAATACTGTACAGTAGTTCTGTCTCAAAGTAGGGTGTGTTTCCTTAGAATTGAATGAGTTCCTCTTTCATAAAAAAGAAATAAAGAAGAAAATATCAACATAATGTTTTGAAGCCACAAATTTCCCCCCTTCTCTGCCTCCAGATAATTTGTTGGAAGTCATTTAAGTACAGTGCAGCCCTTAGGTTACTGAGTAGAAAAAGGGTCTTCGTATTGTCTCCATTTTATGTTGGTGAAGTTTGAATCCTGCATCCAACATTATGTTTCACTAAGGCTCCTGTTTTCCAAATTCAAAAGCCATTTTCGGTTCTCATTATTTTTGACTCTACTCCATTTGACCTTGTGAAAAACATCTTTCTCATATTGCTTCTTTACTCTCTCAGCCTCCTGCCTCCTTCTTGATGATCCCTTTTCTCATCTGTATCACTTCCACTTTGTGGGCACTTTCCAAAGGTGATTTTCTCCCCACTCTTTCCACTGCATCCTTTGATATTCTTCCAGCGCTATCACTGTTGACTCTCTGCTAAACATTCCCCAGCAGGTGAGGTTAGGCCCTATCCCACTTCTAGGCCATTACATGTGTTACTGTTTCTTCCCGAAAGAATATCACCTTATACTAATTTCTACTTGTTTTTCACATTTCAGTACATTGGGGTATCTTTTCTTACATAGCTGGGTACCTCTCCCATGTGTTATGGGGCATCCTGTGCTTCCTATTATAATAGCCCTTAGGATATAGCATTTATTATGTATCACAGTGGTTCTCAGAGCAGGAGCCCCACCAGTGGCATCACTATCGCCTGGGAACTTGTTAGAAATACAAATTATTCAGCTGCAGGGTGCTTGGACTGAATTAGAAACTCTAGGGTGTGGCACGGGAATCTTTGTTTTCACAAGCTCTCAGTGACTCCGATACAAGCCAGCTTGGTGGGGACCACTGGTAGGCTGCAGTGGCCTGGTTTTCCCTCCATCCCCCTGCTAGATTATGGGCTGTTTTAGAAACCATGACGGGATCATTCTCATTGCGATGTCCTTAGCATCCAGTGCAGAGACAACTTTTTTTATGAGCTCCAATTCCAGTTCTCTGATTGCTCACTATGTAATCTGCATGGCGAGCCAAGACTCATTTCAAAGTCAACATCTGTGATGGGACAGTTAACATCGAATCCCTCTCATCAGCACTATCCTCTAAACAACTGCACATGTCTGGCTCTACACCCCTTCCTGACTTTTTTTTTTTTTCCTTTTAATTCTCCCACCTCTCCTTTCTATCAATCCTCTAATCCGTCTCTCCATTAGTCATGGAGAAGCCGGAGTAATCATCTTTCTTTGAAGAGTAATTTCATTTATTCTGATTATACAACTAAAAATTATCCACCATAAAAAATCTGAANCCTTTTAACTCTCCCACCTCTCCTTTCTATCAATCCTCTAATCCATCTCTCCATTAGTCGTGGAAAAGCCGGAGTAATCATCTTTCTTTGAAGAGTAATTACATTTATTCTGATTATACAACTAAAAATTATCCACCATAAAAAATCTGAAAAATTCAGTGACAAAATAAAAAGCACTGGAAGTTCCCCAACTCCGAGAGAACTATTGTTGGTTGTTGTATGTATTTATCTAACTTTTTTTTCTAGCGCGTTTGCTAGAAATGGCTTCCTGTGAAGTAAAACGCTTTGTAATCTACAGTGATTACTCTGTTGTGGATGTATTTCTATATCCTTAAATATCGTTTTCCACAAATTCATTAANTTGTTTCTAGCGCGTTTGCTAGAAATGGCTTCCTGTGAAGTAAAATGCTTTGTAATCTACAGTGATTACTCTGTTGTGGATGTATTTCTATATCCTTAAATATCGTTTTCCACAAATTCATTAACACCTGCATGATATTTTTGACAGTGATGAACCTACCCTCACCCCCTTTAGTTAACTGAAAGTCCTGCCGAAGCCGTTTGATTGCCTCCACCGTTGCAGTCCCAGCTCCTCCTTCTTCTGGAACCTACTGCAGTAGCCTTCTTTGCCAAATTAATTTTTCTAAAGTGCAATTCTGAACAAATTGCTCAAAAGTCAAAATGAGTCTCCAGTGCCTTCCAAATAAGTCCACAATCTTTTTTTTTTTTTTTTAAATATATCTTTATTGATTTCAGGGAGAGGAAAGGAGAGGGAGAGACAGACAGAAACATCAATGATGAGAGAGTCATTGATGGAGCCCGCAACCGGGGCATGTGCCCTGACCGGGAATCGAACCCCGATCGCCTGGATCCTAGGTTGACGCNGTCGACGCTCAACCGCTGAGCCACGCCTGGCCGGGCCACGATCTTGAATCTGACAGTCAGGGACTCCTGCAGGCCCTAGGAGAGGCTGCTCCCCATTCTTACAGCATTTCCCCTATTTTCTAGCCTATTGAATCTGTCCCAGCAATCCNCTTGAGTCTGACAGTCAGGGACTCCTGCAGGCCCTAGGAGAGGCTGCTCCCCATTTTTACAGCATTTCCCCTATTTTCTAGCCTATTGAATCTGTCCCAGCAATCCTTTTTACCAGTGATTTTACTTAAATTTCCACTTCAATTTTGCTAAAATTGCAAACTTCTTACCCTCACCCCCACTCCACTCCTCATCCCCTTCTCTGTTTCGTTTTTCTTTTAGTTATTACAGCCATCTAACAAACCATATAGTTCATTTATTTAACTTGATAATTGACTGTCTCCCCTAACTATAAGTTTCATTAAGCTTCAATGATTTTTGCCTGTGTCTTGTTCATTACCACATCCCAAAAACCTGAAATAGTGCTGGATACATAAAAGACACTAAAATATATATTTGAAATATTGAATGAACATATGAATGAACAAATGAAGAAATGAGTAAATAATAAATATCTACTGGGAAAATTCAGCAAGTCCTCAGGAAGTCAGAGTTCTTACTCCTGCTGAAGGTGATTTCTTGGTTCTCTAAAGCCTATATAACCATTACTTGTACTCATGACATGCATTGCATACTGAATTGAGTTATAATTATAGGTTGCCCTTCCTGTTGAGTAATATAAAAATTCCTTAAAGGCAGATACCAATCGTCTTTGTATCTCTTGCAGTTCCTAATGCATTGACACTCAATAAATAGCTTTAAAATTAATTAAACGGGTCATTGGGGAGAAAAAGGGACATCTGTAATATTTTAAACAAAAATAAAATAATAAAAAAATAAAATTAATTAAATTATCATCAAAAATTAAAATTATTACCAAAAGCAAAAAGGGAGTTAGATGTGAGGACATTTTATCATTTTTTTCCTATTGCTAAAATTGAATGTATCTATTTTTTTAAAGAATAACTGTTATCTGTACAATGGTAACTATTCCCAAAGAAATCACTATGTGAACATTCTACATCTTTACAGGTTATTAATGCTGCACTTGCTTTGGCTGCAAGACCCAAAAGTCAAGTGGTCAAAAAAACCATGGAAATGTACAAGTGCACGTGGGAGAATCATATCCATGTCCTCACAGAAGCTGTAGATGACATTACGAGCATCGATGACTTTCTTGCTGTATCTGGTATGTTTTTGATGTTTTAAATTTATACATTCACTCAAGTCAATTTTCTGAAACAGAACAATACTGGCTATAATTAATTTTATGCACTATAATGAGACTTTTTATTGCCAAGTGCTGCTACATATGATCTATTCTTAGTAANTCTATAATTAATTTTATGCACTATGAGACTTTTTATTGCCAAGTGCTGCTACATATGATCTATTCTTAGTAAATGAACCTCATGCTTTGTGATCCTTACAACTCAACAGTTTATACTGTTTCTCTAAAAGAAACTTCTATTCTTGAGCAAAGCATAATTAAAAATAGTAGCTAGAAATCTTAGGCATATCCTGGCTTTTCAAATAAATCATCAGTTTCCCTTCTTTAATATACTGATGTCTCTTGGTTTCCCTGCATTTCTTTTCCAACTAAGTTTTTCTTTACTCAGAAAAAAAACACGTATTGATGGGAAAACTCTCTATTGATTGATACACAATGTGTACTTCAACTACCAGTGTGTATATTTGCCTAGTGGTGATCTAAAGAATCCAATAAACAAGCCTAAATGTCAGAGTACATCAGTAGCAGAGAGGCTTGAGAGTTCAGGCCAAGCTCAGATGGTTCTCATCATGGATGATTCTCACCACAGGATGGTGAAATTGCTCTCATAAAGCCCTATCCTCATAAGTATAACTCAGGTTTGATTATACTGTTCTAACAGCAAAGAACTAAAGGCTTTTAAATTTTTTTTTATTCTCATAAAAATTAAGCCTCTCCTTAAAATAAATGACATATTTTTTTCAGAGAGAGAGATTTCCTTGGAATGTGATAACATGCTTTTTTATAAAGCAAACTCTCATGAATTTCTAACATCACTTTCTCCTTTTAAAGTAGTCTGATGTATTTTGTCTAACTTGTTGAATTCATTACTTTTATATGTATATATATATTCTCATCGTGAACCATCATTCTAGAAACCTAGGATGTTTTCATGACTCATTATTGAAAAGAAAATGCATGCTAATTATTTTTAAGTTGTTTTATATCTGTAGAGAGAAAAACTTAGCAAACAATAGAAAATATATGGGGGAAAATATTAATATCCCTTGGTCCCACTATTCAGAAATAACAACCACTGATAATCTGATTTATTTCCATCCATCATATATATGTATAATATATATAAAGTGTTTGCCTTTTTACACATATTTGGCTGAATTTTTCCCACATCATTATATAACTTCAAAAATAATTCATTTTTCTCTTCTTGTTATCATTTAGATAACTTGCACTTTTATTATTATAAACAATGTTATGTTAAGCATATTTTTGTCTATTTGCAATGTGAATCCATTCAACTTCTTATATTAGGGCAGTCTTTTGTAATTTAGTTGTTCAGTGCTAGGTTCTATTTTTCAGCTGGTTCTTTTGGTTACAAGGCAAGGAAACCTGCTGATGCTACTTGATGTAAAGGCACTTTTATTGGTACACTGATGGCACGGCAGGGAGACTCTCCTGGACACACAAGAACAGGAACCATAATTGGCCAGGTCTTGCATAATTAGAGTTAGGAGAGCCTGGGATCTAAGCAACTCCTTGGGTCCTTAGAGCAGGAACCCATGGCTTTTCTTTTCAGTGCTGGATTAACCTGACCTAGCAACCTTCTGAGTCTGTCTCTTTTCATAAACAACTTCAGTATTTCAGAATATTTTGCCTGCAAATAACAGAAAACTCATATGAAATTTGCTTAAAGAGTAAAAACCTTAATACTAGATGTTTAAGATAGTTGATTCTAGACTTACTAGCCTTACCATAACAGAAAACTTGGGTAGGAATCGTACAGGCATGTGGGGAGGAGTGTCTTATCACTAACATTATTTAGAATTGCTCATACAGGGTGGCAATAAAAAGTGGATTAATATTTAATGTGTTTCATTATTGTTTTTAAATTCTCTACAGATACGCATGCCATTATTTTCTATACTGGGGTGGACTGTTTCTACCTTCTTGTTCTTTGAATGCTCTAGTCTAGTTGGTAGTGGTTTAAAGTTTTTAACGACCTATGTAGGCATCTCTGGATCCTACTGAACTTCCCTCATGGTTGTATCTCAAAGCATTACACAATACCACGTAAAGTAGGAGGCAAAGTAGATTGTTGGCTTGAACTTATCAAGAAAGAAATCTTTCCCAGATGCCTTCCATAAGACTTTCTCTTACTTGTCATAGGTCAGAATTTGATTGGTCTTATACCTTCTCCTGGATCAATCACTGGGAAAAGCAACTATGATTTCCATATTGGACTTAGACTGGGGGCCAGAGAGAGTGGTATCCTAATTGGTAGTACTTGCTGATTTCTGTGGCATAAATACTCCCCCGTTGGCCGGTATCAAGCTACCAATGCAATGTCATTGAACTCTGAATTGGGAAGAAATGCATAAAAACAGTTCTTGTGAGCTGGTATAAACAGATTCTAGCAGACCACTGGGCTTAGACCAATCATAATTCAACCTTCCCGACTAGTCACTTATTATACAAACAAAATCAAAGGTTTTATTCACAGAAAAGAAGGGAAGTGGCTGTTGATTAAAAAACAAAATATGTTTTCCCCAAACCCTGAGTGGCATCCACTGCTTTCTCAGGTTTCTGCGCCTTCAATAACTTACCTTGTATTAGTTTAGCATGAGCTCCTGTGATGTTTCTTGTTACATCCTACAGATAATGGTGTCTTCTCTCAGAATCTTCCCAGTCAAATAAATAAGAAAGAATATAGCTGGCGCCATACATCTTTTTAGTTCTAAGGCCAGATCTTTAGGACCAGTCTAGAAGTCCCTAGTCCAAGATTACAGGCCAACCAATGAATGAATTACATTTTTTCAGTTGGCTAACTATGGTTCAAATTGCTCTGATGGGGACTGCCACAATCGGATAGCTTTTGTATGGTGCAGATTTTCTTTTAAAAAGTTGCAGATGTGCCCCACCAGCGTGGCTCAGTGGTTGAGCATCAACCCATGAACCAGGAGGTCATGGTTCAAGTCCCAGTCAGGGCACATGTCGGAGTTGCGGGCTCCATCCCCCATTAGGGAGAGTGCAGGAGGCAGCTGATTAATGGCTCTTTCTCATCATTAATGTTTTCATCTCTCCCTCCCTCTCTCTGAAATCAATAATATATATATTATATATATATATACACNTATACACACACACACATATATACGTATTTTTAAAGTTGCAGATGTGATCAGCAGTGAATGACTTTTCTGGTACTACTTTATAATGANCACACACACATATATATGTATTTTTAAAGTTGCAGATGTGATCAGCAGTGAATGACTTTTCTGGTACTACTTTATAATGATCTTTTATCATATAATGTTTGTATTCACCGACTCCTGGTTCTGCCATTTCCCAGGTAGAACAACAGACAGGTTAGTTCATAGGGTGTCTGAGTTATGAATTACCTAGAAAATGTTATGTTTTCAAACTTTTTATAATTGGATTATTTTGGAGGGGTTTTTTGGTGTTGAGTTTTATAAGTTCTTTATAAATTTGGGATATTCAACCCTTATCAGATGCATCATTAGCAGATATGTTCTACCATTCAATGGGTTGTCTTTTCATTTNGTTTATTTTGGAGGGTTTTTTTGGTGTTGAGTTTTATAAGTTCTTTATAAATTTGGGATATTCAACCCTTATCAGATGCATCATTAGCAGATATGTTCTACCATTCAATGGGTTGTCTTTTCATTTTGTTGATGGTTTCCTTTGCTGTGCAAAAGCTCTTTAGTTTGATGTAGTCCGGTTTGTTTATTTTTTCTTTTGTTTCTGTTGCCTGAGGAGATATATCAGAAAAAATATTGCAAGCATACTATCTTTTCCTTGGGCTTTCTTTCAGTAGATAGCAATATTCAATTCTTTTTTTACATATATGAATAAAGAATAGAGGTTCCACTTGGCCAGCATGGCTCAGCAGTTGAGCACTGACCTAGGATCCAGGAGATGGAGGTTCGATTCCCAGTCAGGGCACATGCCTGAGTTGTGGGCTCGATCCCCAGTGGGGGGTGTGCAGGAGGCAGCCGATCAATGACTCTCTCATCATTGATGTTTCTCTCTCTCCCTATAATATTCCACACTTATATGTGGAATATAATAAACAAAATAAACTGATGAACAAAGTGGANATAATATTCCACACTAATATGTGGAATATAATAAACAAAATAAACTGATGAACAGAGTGGATCCAGAGACATAGAAGCATGGAACAAACTGAGGGATCTCAGAGGGAAGGTGGGGAGGGGATGTGGGTGGGGAGAGATTAATCAGGGAACTTATATGTTTATAAGCATAACCCATGGACACAGACATTGGTATGGGGAAAGCCTGGGGGTGGGATGAATGTGAGGTGGAGGGGGTAACTGGGGATAAAAAGGGGACATCTGTAATATTTTTAACAATAAAGATAAAGAAACTTAAAAAGAATAAAAAATAAAATAAATAAATTTTTAAAAAAGAACATATTTAAAAAAAAAAGGAGGTCCTAAAAAGATTCCCACTTTCTTCTGAGTCAATTGTGAAACTTTGTGGATTCTCAGAACACCAGCTCTCCACGTTAAAATATAGACACAAGTNAAAAAAAGAACATATTTAAAAAAAAAAAAGGAGGTCCTAAAAAGATTCCCACTTTCTTCTGAGTCAATTGTGAAACTTTGTGGATTCTCAGAACACCAGCTCTCCACGTTAAAATATAGACACAAGTGCAAGTGAGAAAATATTCTTGGACTTTATTATTTTGTTGTCATTAGCAAAGGTAGTGATCACGCTGATAGATGTTTGCCTTATACTAATGTTGTAGAAAGATTGACTGTCCAATATTGACTGGTGGCTCTTGAAATAAGGGTATTTTTAATACCAAATGTCTTTTATTTATCTATTGACATTCCAAATATTATTTATGATTTTAAAATTGTATGTTTATATAATCATCAAATTTCTCATGATACAAAATCAAAATACCAATTTTCAGAAACCATTTTCA